TGTACCTTCACCTGTGTGAATCCTCCTGACCAGCTAGAGAACTTGCAGGGCCAGTGCAGAGCAAAACTGTTCAGCCTCTTATCCCAAAAGAATGACGAATTTCATGTTAGCAACAACAGAACACTTAACTTCTAAGGACAAGGCCTTGTATCACTGTGCAGATCACACACCCAAAAAGCTGGTCCTGTGTATGTGTATTTTTACTATCTTGAGCATTATACTTGGAAAATTAAGTCAAAGGAACTTCAGAAAATTTCTACTAGTAAAAAGATAGGTCGAATTCAGATCAAAGTATAAGGAGTAGTCATGTTAAGTGGTGTGGTCCTTACATTGTTAACTTGAAGATATATAAAAGTGTAGGGCTGGAGTTTAGCCTGTCAATCAGATCACAGTCTGACAGAGCCTCCTTGTGGGCGTGGCCTTCACATAAGGGAACCTCCCTTCTCTCTCCCTGCCTTCACCTTTCTGTTGGTAAGCCAGTTTGAGACCTACCAGAGCCCTGGAGTTGTATCCACCGCCATTGGATCCACAAGACTGCACCCACTGGCTTATGATATACCTGCATTCTTCACCATTGCATGTGGCTTCACGAGTCTGAAGAAGGGACTTATGGACTAGTATCAGACGGATGGACTTGAGTTGGACTGGGCTGGGATGTTTTCCTGACATACAATTACTTCTTGATATAAAACTCTTCCTTATACATACATGAGTGTCATTGGATTTGTTTCTCAAGTCAACCCAGCCTAACACAAGTGGCATAAAAGTAGTGCTGGTAACTAATAAAGAAAATATTTTTACAATGTCAACAATTGACCACATTATATTGAAGATGGTAGTACAGTATTTAGAATTAGGTAGGTAACCTTCCAAAATGCATTCTTTGAGGTGACTTTGTATCTTTTATTTCCATGTTTCTATTATGTTACATTAATCCCTCTGAGCACGCCACTGGCTCCTTTAATATGGCTAGAAATAATTCATAAAATGCCTTTATGCTATCTGATTTAGTTCCTTGCTGGCTTTTTTGCACAGTTCCCGGGGTCCGTGACTTAACATAATAATAATCACTCAATTTCTCTAATAATAAATCATTGTTGTTGGGTGCTGGTAAGTTACTTTGACTCTTAGTGAACCTGTGTGTCACGATAGCACTGCCCCTGGGAGTTTTCTAGGCTGTAATTTCTGAGAACAAACAGTCCGGTCTTCACAGTTAGAATGTGCCCTTTTTTATACCACTATGAAAATATTTGCTGTTTCATGGATATTTTCTTCATAGAGATAATTGATCGTTGAGTCAATATCTACTGAATTGACATCACTCTTGCAACTCTGAAAAATTTCCTCTCAGGTTTTCCTTCTGCACCAGTCTGTATTCTGCCAGCGGGATGTTGATTTCATCAACAAGGAAGACAGATTTCCTGTCCAACAAATTATTAAATTATTGATGGATACTCTTAGACTCTTCCTGAAAAGCTTGCTTTTTTTAAAGAATGGAAATAGTGCAACATGAAAGAAGTCAGAAAAACATATATTGTATTAATTCCAACAACGTGAGACTCTGGAAAAAGCAAAACTATAGGCCCATCCGTAAAAGCCAGTGCGTGCCAGGCAATTTAGGGGAGGGGGAGGGGAAGTGGAATGAGCAGGCGAAGGAAAGCACCATGAGGACAGTGGGACTGTCCTGTTGACAGTTGACAGCGGAAACCTCTATGTACATGGTGGGCTTTCATGAATAATAATATATTGGTATTGGTTCAAATGTATCACAGGAACGCAAGATATTGGTAAGAGAACGAATCATGTCCAAGAGGAAAAGTCATATATGAGAACTCCCTGTACATTTTCAGTATAATTTCTCTGTCAATTTTCAAGTTGCTCTAAAAGCGGCTATTAAAAAAATAGCTCCATCTAAGTTTCTAAAAAAAAAATCCATTGTGTGTATGTGTACATATATACTTGTGTATTTATTATTTTACAAAAGTGGCATTTAGTATCTAAAAATTAGAAAGTGTAACATCAGCATACAGGCAACTGATCTTTGATAAGGGCACAAAAAATATTAAATGGGAAGCAGATGCCATCTTCACTAAATGGTGCTGGAAAAAATGGATATCTACCTGCAGAAAAATGAAGCAAGACCCTTACCTCACTCCATGCACAAGAATAAACTCAAGGTGGATCACAGACCTT